ATAACTAAACACAGCAACATAAACATGAAAAATCTAAACATTATCGTGAATGTGTGTGGAAAAAAACGTGAATGTAAGGAAATGTATGTGCCTGTGCATAAATACAATGTGCGATCAGTGCGTCAAGAGCACTCATACACGCATTCATATAACGGACTCACGTGCGCTTACTGTACGACTCCTGTCACCGCAATCGTCTTTACCTTGATTGCAGTCTTCATCCATCAAAACTTTACTAGTGAGACTGGTTATCCAGTCGAGAAAACGTAGTTTGCGTCTCATCTGGCCATACAGCGGTGGGATGTGTTGACAATCCGTTCAGTCTGTACTTCACACAGCACGTGTGAGGGCTCGCGCTCTTCAGAGACAATCACAGAATATGACAGAGCTCGTGTTTTAAAGTCAAACATACTGGAATGAATAATTCACTGAAAACGCAACGCAAGTCTCTGTTCTCTCTGCAATCTCTGATGTAATCAGCCTGGTTTCCTTTATATTAGCGCTGTTTTGGACGGATTGTTTGAATGCATTCGCTTACTGGATCATTGGACTGAAAACTTTCCCGGAGTTTAGTGGCTTAAAATGATCTGATCGCAAGCAGAGAAGCAAAATTGGGTTAAAGGGTTAGAATAGAATTTGTGCTTCAGTAATTTTGTGTTAAATTATTTTAACGCGTTAAAGATTGCAAAATTAATCGATGACAGCCCTAATATATATATATATATAATTTAATTTAAAAAAAATTCCAGGTTTATTTGATGAAATAGTAGAATTTATTTATTTTTGTAACAATATAAAAGTCTTTACTACGATTTAATGCATCCTTGCTGAATAAATGTATCAATTTCTTAAATAATAAAAAAACATACTGAGTGATTATCAACAAAAATGGAAGAAAACATTTCCAGTTTTTTTACTTGTTATTACCGACATTAAATTGTGTGCATTCAAAGAAATTTCACAATATAAGAAACCAGACTACATTATATGGGTTTAGGTGGATAAATGTGTTTTGTGCCATCAGTTATTGGCTTAAAGGGGTGGTTCATAGCGATTTCACTTTTTTAACGTTAGTTAGTGTGTAATGTTGCTGTTTGAGCATAAACAATATCTGCAAAGTTACTAAGCTGAAAGTTCAATGCAAACGGAGATATCGTCTTTTAAAATTCTGGCAGTTTAATGCCTACAAAAACGGCT